TGTCACAATATTTGGACATTGCTTTCATGTCTTGAAAATAAATGATGCCAGTGTAAACGAGGCTGGTGGGACTGGGAGGTGGTGCCCGATCCCCCAGGAGTGCAAAATGAGGGATTTCATGACCCAGGTGGGGCCCTGAGGGTCACCAGTCTCTGAAACAGCCACTCCTTGCAGGAAGAAGTGGCAGAGGGTGGAATGAACCATCCAGGCTCCCACACTCAAAGAGAAAAATTGGAGTTTCCTTGGGTCTGGCTGCTGCCAGGGAGGGCACAGCTCACATCAAGCTTTGAACCAGAGCCTCCAATCTGAGACCTCATCTGGCTCCTGGGGCTGTTTTCCCTTTGGCTCCCACACCTGGAGCAGCCCAGCACACAGAAATCCTCTTACAGACACATCTCTTTTAGGTAAACTGGTTTTTTTTTCCTCTCGATTCATTAACAAGAATTAAGAACAAAATCCCAGGTGAAAATTCTGTCTCTGAAGAATCCATGTCCAGACTGTGGCTGATCACACCAAGCTCTCTGCAGCCTCTGGCCCTGGGGGAGTCACTTTTGAAAGGAAATTTCATCAAGGCAGACCAAACTCTCACAAAAGTAATGATCAGTATTTTTATTCATACACACTTGCTTTGAAACTACAATTAATACTTAACAAAAGCATTTCATGCAAACAAAGATTGAAGGTACTGTGAATTATGAAACAAACAAACAAAAAAGATGCTGTAATTTGTACATCAGTCTTGCCCACTACACTTCCAATGGTTGTTTTTTTTTAAAATCTTTTGAAAAATGAATGGCTTCTCCAGATTTCCTGGTAGCATCTTGCAGATAAATGATATGAAAATAAATAATGTTCTCCTCCATATAAATACAACATTTGGGTCTTAAAATAATATTAAAAATAGTAATGAGTTCAAGGTGGGATTGCTACATGTTTAAAAAAATTAAAGTAGCATACAGTCTTTTGAGAAGTTTCAGGTGTTCTCTGTATTGTGCAAAACCACAGAATATTGGGAAATTTAACCATTTTAAAAAGAGCCAACGAGCTTAATTTTGTTGAAATTGGATGGGTTGTTTTTTTTTTTACATTAATTTTGATAACATGGGAGAGAACAAATGAAAGGTTTGGGGAACGAGCCATAGATTAAATTTTTATTACCCCCTCAAGAACATGGTTTTTATACTCCAAGGCCAACAGTGGGTACAAACACAGACTGTAATTAATATTTTCAGTGAATTGGCCAAGCACTCACACCCAGGGAGCTCTGTGGTTCCTTCGGAAGCCAAGCCAAGGGCGTGTGAAGCTCTGGAAGGACAGAGCCCTTGGCACTGTCACCTCAAGGGGTTCAGAGAGAAGGAAATCAAGCAGTTCTCAGGAAAATGTTTGTAAAGATCATGAACATCATTTTCCTTTCTATTAAAACGTTCCTGTCATTAATAATTGTGAAACTAATGAGACATCAGCTGCAGAGTGCCCAATGCAACCAGAGTGAGAAATGAGCTTCAATGGCAGCTGAGTCAATGTTGTTGCTACTCACCCTGCGCTGTTTCAAATCATTAACAGACTTAATTTATTTGTTTAGGTCAACTGACATCAGTGGAAGAAAAAAAAAAACAGCTTCTGGAGCAGTTTTCTTTTAAATTTGAACTATGGTGTCACAGACAAGGCAAAAAAAGAAAGCACAAAGACACATTTACAACACAGAAATACATTAAAATATCAACAGAAAATATTGACCTGTCGTGGACTGCACAAAGAAGAGAGCTCCTCCTTCAGCAGGAGTCAGTAAAAATGGTACTAGAAAACAGCTGTGCTGACTTTATTTACCCAAAGGGAATCTCCCCCTCCAAGAATCAGTTCTGCTAAGACTTCCACCGACATGGAGTTTTTAAATTGCACATAAAAATCTCAGTAGCTGGAAAAGAGGTAAGTGCAGCTGACCTACACAATCAGCAAGCATCACTCCCCGCCACCCCCTGACTCCAGGTACAAAAGCTGGACTCCAGATTCTGTAAGAATCGTATCAGATCTGATTTTATTTCTCTTCAAATGGTTTCAGCAGAGTTACTAAAGTTCTATAAAAAAGTAGAAACAGCATGGTATAGCCAGCAGTACCATGTGAATCCAAGAAGCTGATTTAATATTAAAAATTATAATAATACTTACACAACTCTTTTCAGGTTCAAAGTGAATTAGAAACATTGCCTAAGAAGTCCTCAGTGGGGTCAGCAAGTATTATTACCCCATTTTACAGGTGAGGTAAGTGAGGCAGAGAGGTTAACAAGCGGCTCTCTCCCTCTCAAGGTTTTCCTGGGAACAGGAGGGATGTAGTGCATGATGATTATTCATGATAAGGCTGTTTAATTCCCAATTGTTACTGGCACAGTGAGGGAATCATGCATGGTTGTGGAGTCAAATCTTACTTATTTCTGCAATTCAGCTATTTCAGATCCCATCTATGAGTGCAGGGCCGAGGGGAATAAAAAAGTGCTTTTTAGCTTTTCTACTTGGCAGCTCAGTGCCCTCCTACAGAGGGGACACATCAAACACAGCCCACACTCACGTTTGCAAAAAGACAAAAAACTCTATGTACAATAACTTATGCTAATGACTAAAAGAACTGAAAATCACATTAAATATTTCCAGAAGTTTCCTGGCAGGTCCAAAAGCCTACTGTAAACTCTATATGCTGTAAATATGCTTTCTACTCATATCAAAGCTTTATTATTGGATTATTATTTATTATTTCCAATGCTATGCTTTGCACAGTAAGGAGGATCTGCCCCCCCTGCTCACTGCATGTGTCTCCTATGGCATTTAATTGGGATTGCACCCAGAGGCAGCTGGACATGGAGACACTTTTTAACTGGTACCACTCCATCCTTGGACATGTCATCTTCCCAGCTAGAAGACAAGTGCCTCTCTTGCTCAACCTTATTCATTTTATAGAAGCCCAGCATTACTGGCTTGGATTCACCCCAAAAGACAGGATGGATTTCAAAGGCCAGAAGCATTCAGATGTGGTGAGTTGTTTTTTTTTTTTTAAACTAACAGCTGATTTCCAGAAGAACTTTCTGCAGTTTGTAAAATGAAATTCAATTGTATTTCTGGAAAGAATGAAGAATCAGAAAGCTCAATTGCATTTCTCCTCCAAACTGGATTAAGAAGGAGTATTTTATCATGGGAATGTGTTCTCTCCTTCCCACATATGTGCCAACCCTTCTCAGAGCACCGAGCCTGGCCAGTGGGTGAAATGGTTGTCCTGGAATCCCACCACCCTGCTCTGGTCACTCAAAGGTTCACAAAAGTATCCAGATATCTGAATAATGACAAATTTTGCTTAGGAGCCAGTGAAGTCCCATTTGATCCCTGAAAATCCCTTGGAAGTTTTACATGGCAGACCTGTGCCTCTCCTGGCAGGAATGGAGCTGCCCTGGAACCATCTGGGACTCGAGCACTGAGATGGAAACACAGCTCCCAGAACTTCCAGCCCAGCTTCAGTGCAGTACAGCTTTCAATCACAGCTCCCAAAACTTCCAGCCCAGCTTCAGTGCAGCACAATTTTCAATTTGCCTTTTGGGAATCTTGGTGGCAATGTGGGTGCTGGGATTACAGTTGCTATTGAGCACAAGTGAAAGAGAAGCAGCTCTAATGCTTCCCCTTCTGTTGATACATGTTCTCTAGAAAAGCAAATCTTGTGAAAAGTATTATATAAATAACATCTGTCTCTAAAAAGATACAAAAATTCTGTCTGGATTCTCCAGGTTTTCCTTGCCATTATAAGTTTCTGGATTCTGAGCAGCCAGTGGGAGTTCTTGGGAAAGGTCAGAGCATGTGAGGGCATCAGGAAGAGCAGTGAGGGGTAACACAACTAATCCCTGCTTTGTCCAACCCTGCCTTGCTCCTGCAGGATCCAGGAGTTCATAGCACGTTCTCCTAAGTGTTACAAACCTCCAGAAGACAACACTTACGTCACAAGCCTGGGGACCTGAGGTAACGACGTTAAAGAGGAATTTCTCCTTCTATGTCAGAAAAACTGGGAGACAACACAAGGGCTGAATAAACTGGGTATGGGAAGCAGCCAGAAAATGAGCAGCTCTGTCCCAGCGTCAGGCCAGTCCTGTGTCACAGCTGTGCCAGCAATGGGACTTGCTGGGACAATTCAGATTTCATCAGAAAACAGAACTGTGGGAACATCTACCCAGGGGAACTCCTCCCCAGGTTTCTGGCTTGGTTCAATTCTGACCCTGTTCTGCTTTGCTTACTCTCCAAACCTGTATGCTGGTATTTCTCCCAGTATTTTCCTTTTTCACAAGTGTTTTTTGTTTTCACTTCACATTTTCAAAACAAGCACAATGGCACCTCTTGGCAGACTGGCATAGCTGAGAGCCTCTTCTTTATTAAAATCTGAGACTCAGTAATGTTATCTTAATTCCACCTATTATTTTCTACAGCATGATTTCTACCCAGATTTTACTAAACATTGCCAGGCTAATAATATTCAGAAAAAAAAATAAGGAAAAAAGTCATGAATGCTGCATTAGGCCACATGCTTTATGGTAAATACCATTGTTTTTGAAATACATAATACACAAAGAAGAAAATGAACTCCCAGTCTTGGCTGACAACATATTTGACACAGAAGAGTTTAAAATTTTACTCCTCAAATGTTTGAAAAGTTTGGAGTCCTGTTTGTTTAGGCAATGATCTGAGTTCCTGTCAGCTGGCCAATGCCCCTTGTGAGCCACACCTTGGGATGTCAGGGTTTGATCGCTCCAAGGTGCTCCCCGTGGGAGCTGGGGGTACAGAAGGACTGAGGGCAACAATTGGACTCCTGGAGTGTGGAAATTGCACATCCTGGCCCCAAACCCACGTTTTCCAGGGCCCTGCAGGTGCAGAAACTCAGCACAGTCACCCTTCACATCCAGCCACGTTTCCCCCAGCTCACCCAGCCCACCCCTGTGGCTCCCCCCTGGCAGGATTGGATCTTTCTGACAGAATCTTTGGCACAGGTTCCATGGTTTATTGTCATAAAAGATTATTAGAAAGTAGGTTCCCCTCCCACCCCACCCCATTACATATTCTAGTATAAATTGAAGTCTTTTATGGCAAGTATCTTACTTTTTGAATATGTTTACATGCTGGAAAAATTGTAATCAGTCTGCATGCAGCAACAGAGACATCATGCTTCTGGCATCATCATGCACATCTGACAGACAAAAAGTGCCTGTGGCTGCTAATGGGATCAAGGCAGGAGGGAAAAAAAAGGGGAAATGCACCAACTACTATTTTACATGCTGTAACAAAACCAAAATATGCACAAAACATTATTTACTGATATTTGAGTTAATATCTTCTGGTAAGTTGTAAGAGGAAATATCAAAATTTTTTATCTAAGTGATAGGAGAGGAGAAGATTGCATTAATTACAGTGTTCATCATTGCAAATAAAGTCTATTTCCTTCTCTGCAAGTAATAAGCAGATGTGAAATGAAAGCCTAATTGAACCTCGTATAAAACCTGCAGGTAGCAATTATTATTTAAAAGTATATCTACTTTAAAAAAAAGAGATTATACCCTAAGCCAGTAACAATATTCAAAACCTAAAGTAAAAATCAAAACAATAGCAAGAAAACATTTAGCTATATCTAAATGGTGTCATTCAGAACAAGAACTTTCACAAATAAAGCACAAGTTGTTTTATAAAATTTTTATAATACTCTTTATGCTTGATATGATTATGTCAATAATATAGATCTGCTTATTATTAACCCTTATTATTAAGAGTTATTACTAAACATGCAAAGTTCATTGCATGAAGCATATGTAAAATGTATTAAATTCCATTCTATTAATAAAACGAGTTTTATTTTTTTCTTTCAGGCTTGATTATTCTACAGCCCAAAGTTTTCTGAATTAAAACTGATTATTTAAGACTGAATCTCACTTGATTTTCATGAGTAATTCTGGAGAAATCAGGAAGTCACTTGGGGCTGCATTTTCTGTTAATTTAATATGCATAACGCTTTCTTCAATTTACTGCCCTACACTGCAGACGATAAATAAACACATGTAAATAAGACTTAAGGAATTACACTTTTGTTTTACATTCCAGGTTAATAAATTTCATAGTAAAATATTGGTATTAGAACCAGTTAACAGTAAACTTGAGGAGTGGTGTAAATTAAACCAACTGAACAAACAATGGCACCCTGGATCACAGAATAATCTCATGGAGATTAAAAATTCACAAAAGTATTATTAAAATTATTACTATTATCATCATCATTATTATTATTATTATTGTTAAAGACAAAATTTCACCCTTGAGTTTATCACCTGCTACTCATAGCACAAATCCTACAGATGTGGCCACCACCCGAGCGCTTTTATTTGGGATCTTACAGGATCTGCTCACCAAGCCTCAGGTTCTAATTTGATTTCATCCCCCCTCCCACCCATTCCCAACCTTTTTTTGTTTTTGTTTTTTCCTGCCATATTTTTCAAATGCTTTCAGCAATTTTTTTGCAATGCCTCTCCCCTCTGGAGCTGACCCCACTCAGTCTCTGGATTTGCCCCCGAAGTCTCCGGGAGCGCGGGGAGGACGCTCCCACCTCCCGCCATCCGCCCCCAAGGAATAAATACTCCAGGTGGCTTCTCATTCATGCCACGTGTCAGATGTTTTTCCAACACAACAGAGTTGAAAAGGGAGCAAAAGGACAGTGGGAAGGTAAAAAATACAGAACGTACCAAAACATGGGTAAGTTTCGACAGGTCAGTGGCGACTTCTAGAAGAAAAAGTGGGCACCGTACGCTAATTTATCTCCTGTTAAGACAACATTGCTGCTGCAAAGCCCAAATCCTGACTAAGTGGCCCTTCCCTCATCTCACACCCTTCTAACCCTACAATTTCCAGGCCCAAATGGAATCAACAAGGCGAAAGCCTAAAAATTGTAGGGTTACAACTGTTCCCCACGGCGGGATTTGTTCTGCTGTTTCATGCTACATTTTCTACAAGGGGGTGCACGAACTGGGGGTTGACATAAGAGAACCCTTCAAAATCTGTTTGGTCTATGTTGGCAATGACCAGCTGATCTGGAGGCGTCAACACTGGCTGTCCTCGTGTGAAGAACTTATCGAAGTTTTCAGCCCCTTTGCCGCACTGCAAGGAAAGAGAAAAGCAGAAAAAAAGGCTGAAAAAAGCCAGCAGTACAACAGCAGAGTTGTCAGGGTATGTGTAAGGCTTTCCCTTGTTTCTTATGAGTAGATGAGGGAAAATTTGCTTTACAGACATTTTGACAAAATATCACAGAACAGTGAAAGTTTAATATCTGAATCCTGGTAAAAAGCAGTCAGAAAGGTTTCCATCCCTCAGCGTGAGGTGACGAGATAAAGAGGCTTAAATACTCAGCATTACTGGGATACAAAAGGCAAAAGGAAATATTTTCATAAACATATGTTGGCAAGAGATACTTTCTTTAGCAAGTCATTTCATTCTTTTTAAAAGCCTTACAATACAAAATTAAATTTTCATGTTAGTCTTGGTTTTCTTTATGATCTGCAAAAAGCTTAATGCAATTCATTTATGTGCTTTGAGCCTCCACTGAACAGGCTACAAACTGCTATAAATTCATAAATGATAGCAGGGCCTCAGTCCTTGGCATGGCTGGAGGGCTGGCCAGGGACATCCCAGGACAGGTCCTTGTTCCTAAACTTGCTATCACAGGTTTCCTCCTTTATTTTTTAAAAAAAGTATCATTTCTGGGCAAAGTCCAGGCAAAAAAAGCATAAAATACCACTACAGCCAGAGCACAACTCCTTCAGAACAGAAAACAAAAGAAATAACCAAGATAATGGTTGGAACTCAGTGATTTTAAAGGTCTTTTCCAGCCTAAACAATTCTATAATTGTATGATACTGATACAAATAGAATCAGCAGTCACCATAAATGAGTTGTGCACAGGGTATGTAAATACCAGACTTGGATTTTAAGTTATTTTTGTCTAGGACAGTCGGGCTCCATGTGAATCTGCCTGGGTGTGCTTCAACAGCAGCCTGTGCAAACAAAGCAGGACATGATAACCAGGGAGACAGAGCACAGCTGCTCTCAGGAGGAGCCAGGATCTGCCAGCAAGCTCTGATGGAACCAGACCACACCTCAAGCTTTCAGCTCCTTCATGCTGGTGTTACTTTTAACTTCAAGAAGAGTGTAAGTTCTCAGCTCCTGAGCTAAGAAAACTTACAGATGCGAAGGCAGATCTGCTTTATGATCAGCTTTAAGTTTGACTTGAGGAGCATGTAATAAAAATATCCCATAAAATATGCTCTAAGAGCTTCCCTTTGCACAGCCAGCTCTGGGGATGGGATGGGCAGGGCAGGGCTGGCAGCACCAAGCAAATTCTTCACTTATTTACACCCTTCCCTGCATACAAAATCCACCATAGCAAAAAGGTATTTCCTTTAGCAATAAACACCCTTCTAAGCTGCAACTCTCCTCCTGCTGATGGAAAAAGGTAATTTGTATGGAAAAAGTGCAGATTAATTCAGGTATTGGCATCCCTCTGTTCCTTAGTTTAAGAATCCTCACTGGTGTGTCTGTATTGGCAAATAAATCAGTGTAAAGAGCAGTCACCCTACACCTGAAGTGCTAAAGCCAGCCAGGATTCTGAAAATCAGAAATCTGAAAAATAAAAAGGTTAGAGAAGAAAGGTTCCATGTTAGGACATAACAATTTACAGCTGTTCCTTAAAGCTTGTGTTCTTGTGTGTAAACTCTTCTCTTTGCTTGTCCATAAAGCACATTACATGCTGAAAGAAATTCTGGCTCAACAAGCAAAGCTCTTCCGATTCTATTATGCAAACAGCTCTCAGGGTAAGGACATCTTTCCACTAGCTTGGATTTCTAAAATGTTCCTGTAGATCCACATGTGCAAACCAGTAATAAACATGGAAAATAAACCAGGGATTAATCTTGCAAACTGGGCAGACATGGCTGTGGGATGGGGAATAAAACCCCCCGTGCTGGGCAGCCAACCATGGAGGAAATTCACCCCTCTAATCCAAATCCCTCAGTCAGATCCTGACTTTAGATGCTGCTCAGAGGAGCCACTTGTTAACCACATTTATTACCAGCCTCAAGTGGCTGTGCCAATTTTCCCCATTTTCATCTCCTCACTGTGTGACCATCCAGGCAGAGCTCAGAGCACTGTGAGGCTTTTTTGCCAGGCACAAAGTTCCTTGGGTTCCAGCACGGGTACCAAAACATGAGCAGGCTCTCAGACAGCTCTGCTCTTATCAAATTGCCTGGTTTGAGCTGTGCCCCAGACCTGGAGCAGCAATCCCACCCCACGGGGAGCAGGGCTGCGCTCACACTCCGTGCGGGATGGAGCTGGCACCTCACTCACCACTTTAGGTTTGAAAGGTGGCTGAATCTCTCTGTTCTCCAATTTTTCCCAGTCAATTCTCCTGAAGAAAGCGTGTTCCCTGATGTCTCTTTCACCTTCCAGGCCACAGCCAAGGCGTTTTGCAGGGTGTTTAGTCATTAGCTGTTGGGAAGAAAACACCAAACGATTCAGTTTAATGCTGGAAGGAAAGTGAGAGGGACTTTCCCCTGCTTGCAATGCTCTTGCTCCTCTCCTGAAGATACACACTGCTAATAAAATTGTTTTGAAAAGCCAAAATGAATTTTTGGAAGGATTTTCTTGTTTGATCACTGGACACAGTTTGATCAAATCAGCAGCAAAATTAGGGGCTGCACTCAGGAAATTTTTCCCACTGGGCAGAGGTTGCTGCTGGAGGTGCAGGTGGTGCCCAGGACATGCTGCCATCCCCGCTGGCTCACAGCTCCCTCCTGAATTTCACCTCCAATCTCTCAGTTCAGTCTTACAGATCTCCAGAACAGCTCCTACCCCATCTCAGCAATCAATTAAACATCATAAATTCCAATGCACTAAAGCTCAATGAAGTACAACCCCCCCACACCCATTTCATTTTTCTGGAGCTTGTTCAAGACATCTCATTACAGAGCCTCCAATTCTTTGGCACACAGCTGACAACATCTAATCTTTGTTTCCTCCCTTGCATTCTTAATGACATCCTGGTCAATACTATACCCAGTTGCAGAGATTAAACAGACTTGGGGAAAAAAAAACAGCCCCAAATCCACCAGCCTGGTGTTCTCAGAAACTGGAATGTATTCCCTAATTAACAAGTTCCAATTGGAACATTGGGAATTGTGCAATGTAGCCTTAAACTCTCAGTTCCAGTTTTGTGGTGACTTTTTAAAGCTCTTTTACGAATTACATATGATTAATGTACTGCTGGGAGTGATACCTCAACAGATCTTAAAACCTCAGTACCACTTTAGTCTCCTTCCAAATGTTCAGTTGATCTGATTCCAATTTTGAACCTAAAATAAAAGTGACTCTAAGCAGGTTTGGGAAGTGGCTGTGCACTGGGCAGGAATCACAGCTTTCTTCAAGATTAACAGCGATGCTCCCATTTTTGTTACTTTTTCCAAACCCCTTGCTTCAACAGTAGGTAATAAAAGAAAATGGGAGTATTGATTCCAGTAGTTTTAATTCTTTCCAAAGTTGCTGCATTTACCAAAACCAACAAACTCTCAATCAGTGGAATGGAAGTCAAGCAGACAAATCAATTCCAAGAGCAGGGTGGGCAAGTTTGTCTTGCCCAACGGTGCCCAGTACTGGGATTGCTGAGCTACCACTGGCTGCAAGGGTCAGAAACTTTCTCATATTGACTTCTTAGCTCAGGAAAAATTCCCACTGAAACCTGAGATTAATTTGTCAGTTTAATGCAGATGAAGAACACGTCAGTATCACAGAGACTTGCCCAAAATCTCAAGGTGCAGGGTAATTTTAGCTTTCTGCCCTCCCTTGACATGAGCACCAGAGAGCAGCAAACAGAGGAGCTGAAAACAGGGCAATTACATCAGGTACAGACTGTGCTGTTTGAATGTGTGATTGTCACAACAAGGCAACAATCTGAATGTACTTTACAAAAATACATCATGTTTATTTTTTGTTGGCCAGCTGGGATAAGATCCAAAATTAGCATGGTCTTTCATTTTACCTTCTTGCTCTAAACACCTTTTCCTTGATGATTTTTTTAAAGGGACTAATACCCAGCTCATGTATAGCACTTCAGAAATGGTTGGAAAGGATAGGAAGAATGTAAATACCAAATTAACTAAGTGCAGTGGTGTTTTATCAGTGTAAGTCAGACATCAAATAACCCATTACAGGCGGTGGATTGGAAAAGCTGCATACTGATGGTGCTCTGGAGAATCACATGGAATCAAAGGGAAGTCAAATGAATTCTTTCTTCCTAAGCTAATCCCCTGAAGCTAAATCTATTATTTTCCTCAAAAGTGAAAAAAAAAATTAATTTAGTATCTAAGACCAATTTTAGGCCACACAGGTACCACTGGATCAGAATTTCCCCATGGTTTCCTTGCATTTCTGCTAAAGATTTTTACATAAGCTTATCTTCACCTAAATTTAAAAATGATTCTCCTAAACTCCTGTGCTCTGATCCTGTCATTGGGCTGAGGGCTCGCTGGAGTAGCTCCAGCCAAGCTGAGAAATCTCACCCCGCAAAATCGGGGCTGTGCTGCCGCAGGTCGAGAGGCAAAGCCTGGGGAGACTCTTCACACCAAGGTCCTGTTTATAAATTCTGCTCTGGCTTTGGCAGCTGCTGATCCTGACATTTGTTCTTTCCATAAAACAAGCAGGCACAGCGGGAAGAGCCCAGCACTTACCAGTGACACCAAGTGACAACACAGCTCAGCGCTGCCTGACAGAAGTTGTACTTTAAAATACTACAGTGCTGTGTCAGAGCCAGGCAAAGGCAGCTACTCACAAGGATTGCCAAAAAGGAACTTAATGATAAATTAACATTTTATCTCACCCCCTTGCAGATGGAGACAGCTTCTTTGGACAGTGATTTTGGGTAGGAAACATTATGCTCCATTATGGACTGGAACAGTTCATCTTCGTCTTCCCCATCAAATGGAGGCTGTAAAAAATAAATCACAAGTGAGCAACTTACTGAGTTTTCCTTTTTCATGTTAAATTTTCTACTTTTTATGAAATGGCATGACAACACCATGCCCAAAGAGATCCACATACAGCAGTGCTCCTTGTCCAGGAAGACTCCCCAAGCTCACAGCAATCTGCAGCCTGGATTTCTGCTGACCCAGTTTAGTGTTTGACAGTCTCAGATCAAAATCAAGGGGAAATGTTCATTTCTGTCCCCAGAATGGCAGCCAGGTTAATGAAATGTGTGCAGGACTATCTTTGTGATCAGCTTTAATCAGTTTTTAAAGCTGCTATACACCAGACAGGCAAAATACTTCAAAGGCTGAAGTTTGGAGAATAACTTTCAATTACCTTGTGCTAAGGTATATCCATTCCTCACTTAATTCCAGTTAAACACCAGTTTGTTTTGTGTCATGGTTGTAGATTATGCTTTTGAGACTATCACAAGAAAGGTCTGTGCTATATTTTAAAATACAGGGATAGGAAAGTGCCCACGGATAAATTCCATGGATATGGGCCCTGTGCAAGACCCAGCTAATGCTAAATCTCCTTTTCTCCAAAGCATTCAGATGGCCAATATTTGAAATTCAGCCTGCAAATGTTAACAGCTGCAATTGGTACACATTAAACTTTTAAAATGTCCATTGGAACTCCACAGAGAAACTCTTAAAGGCATTTGTTACAAATGTATGTTTTAAGCTCGGAAAATGCCTGCCTTTACCTAACACTCACTGAGATTCAACTGCAGGAATCTTTTTTAACTCAAGACTAATATAATTCCTTAAAGTTGGGGCTTATATGCCATTTATTGCAGCAGAGTGTTGCTTCCCTACCCGAGGGACTCAGAGAGCAGCCTCTCATTAACTGCAGAATGAGGGGTCTGTAACTGAGCACATTTCCAGATTTTACCCCCAGGACATACAGTACAAAACTGTATTCTTGGGACTTAACTGCAATGCAGAGCTTATACACACTCTTATTATGCTTCCCTGTGGTTTCAAACTCCTAAATGGTATTTCTTCCACTTGACATGCATTTTCCTGCTCAAGTGTCTCCCTTTCAATTCTGAAGATGGCTATTTATAACATTATTGCAGTACAAAGGAGCCGTATTCAAAGGCAGAGCTTGATTATGTGGGTGCAACATAAAGAGCTTAAAGCCTAAATACATTCTCAGTTGAGTCAGTCAAGAGTACAAGGAGATAACAGCAGAATGAAAGGCTTCAATCTTATCCTGCAATGGTCTAAACCTTTAGGGAGCCTTGAAACAGAGCAGCCTTGGAGGGCAGGAGGAGGAGCACAGGAGGGGGAATCTCTTACCTGGCCAGCCAACATCTCATAGAGCAGCACACCGTATGCCCACCAATCCACCGACTTCCCATAGGGCTGGTAAGCAATAATCTGCATAATCACAAAAAACAAACACAGGAGAAACCCCTGTGTTAACTAACCCCCATTAGGTACGTGTGTGATGTGCAGAGAAGGACAGGTTTCCTTGGAAAAGGCCAGAAAGACAATCCTGTAATCCTCCCTCCAGCTGATTTCAGTGGGAGTTGGGATTGTTTTGCAAGTGTGAGTCTAAACCCACCCACGTCCTTGGTACCCTGATATTGTGGAAAATGCAGCTCTCAGGAGTGCATTTGAAGGCAAAGGAGGAAGTACAGAAGCACAATGAAGGAGACAAATGGCAAAACCATTACCCAACTGTTTGTGTCAAAGTCTGAAATCATGAGGCTCACTTAACTTAAGGACCATCAATAATGAAACCTTTCTTTTTAATATTTATGTTTTTGTTCTGCTGTAAAAGGAATCAAAATTCAGGAAAAGAGCAAAACTCCAAAAATCTCAGTCAAGTTTTTCCAAGCCACATGATGCTCAGTACGAAATACCAGCTACACCAAAAAGAAAGGGGGTTCTGCTGTTCAGACTAATGGAAATGTCAAGTATTTTCCATGCTCTGGGTTCAGACCTGACTCACAGAGCAGTGCAAACTGAGTTCTGACACAAGGAAAAGCTGCAGGTGCCAGCAGCACCCAGGTCCCCTCCTGTGTCACCCTCTTTAATCGAGGCCTCCTCAGAGATCAGCATTCATTTATTTAAGAGCTGCATTTGGAAATGGTGTGGAGGAGTTTGGAGGTGCAGCTGTTTCTCAGATCTCTTCCTAAATAACTGTGAAGGGATGCTGTGAATTGTGAAGGGATGCAGGACATCCCAGTCCCTGCCCATCCCCACTGAAGGCAGCATCAGAGCCTTCGACTCCATCGTCTCCACTGGAATGTGCAGGGAACTGAGGCAGTCAGAACTCCAGAGGGGCTTGCATTCATTTTCCTGCTTGCTTGTGTTTTCACTCTTTGTGAAATAAATTGCCCAGTCAAATACACATCACACATCCTAAATTTTTTAGCAGTCTGAAAGAGGAGTTGAACTGCCAAGTTCCATAGTTGCTCAGGAAAATAGTGAGTCACCAGTGCAATAAAGCAGGGCTGCCTGGCTACTAAATAAAATTATGGTCTCTGTGTGGATATATGTCCTTGCCTGAGATACAGCAGCACATGACTTAAAAATTACTGCAATGTTTCTAACCAAAGGATTTTAAAATCAATTGTGCTTTGGAATATATTAGACAACCAGAGATAGTAACAAGATTCTCATCTGGAAGGCCCTACATAAAGGCAGTCTGTGTTAGTTATCTCTTAGCAGTAACATGGGCTTAAAAATATATATTTGGGACATTCATTTCATCTTATAGCAGTTGACATACTTGGTTACTCTCCCTTCCATTTCCATCACCAGTAAGTTCCTGCTGGGATCATTATTTCCTTTTGAAACACCAAACACTTTCAAACTTTCATCCAGGAAAAATACTGGCCTTTACCCACAAAATGACAAAACATTGCATCCTCAGTCCTCCTCTGAAAATGTCTCCCTGCCTTATGGAAAAGAATATTTTATATAAAAAAGGGATTTTTTCAGGTCATTGATTTGTAAGGGCAGAACATTTTGTACAACAAGTACATGGTATGTGGTTTTGGGAGGAACAGTTTATTTCAATTAGCAAATGAGGAGGAGATGGATCCATAGCAGTGAGAAAGAAAATGCTGCTACACTGCCAAAGTTCTGTACCTGGCAGCCAGGTCTGTGCAGGAGCCCACAGTCCACTTCTGTCCCTGTTGTGAAGGAGCTTGATGGGATTATTGAGAGGAGGAAATCACATAAATGCTGCAATGCAATGTCCTACAGTGAAATTGTACCAAAGCACAGACTCAATGACGCTGACTTTTATCCAGCAAGGGCTGAGTCAAGGCTGGGCTCCTCTCTGAACAGCATTCCCATCAGGAAATGCAATCTCCCCTATGAAATCTGCCTTTGGGAGAGAATATCAAACAGAATCATCAGGAGAGGCAGAATTAACATGGAAAAAGCTCCAATGGATGGTCAGAATCACTACAATTTTTCTGCTGCTTGATGCCACATCTGATGAACAGAGCAGTGCCCCTCTGAGCTGGCACACACCTCCCTCACCTGAGCCAGTCTGTGATGGCAGAGTGGGAATTGAGACATGAGTACAGCCAGCAAGGCTAGAAAAGTCCCACTGCAAATGCAATGACAACACCTTTTTCATTGAATTATCTCCATGCAGAAGTGGTGCTGCTGCACACAGGGAATTTTCTTCCTCCTTCCCTTTAATCCCATCTAAACACACCCAGTTTGAGTCACCAGTTTGATCCTGGTGAGGCTGTGGCACCAGGGAAACCCAGACCAGCTGTTTGCCACGTCCTGTGTGCAACCTGTGACAAAACTCCTCATACTGGGAGCTGCTCCCAGCACTAACTGGGCAGTGCAAACCAGAGGGGAGAATGCTCACTTCAAGGGAGGAATTACATGTGGGAGGAAGCAGATCAGCCTTCAGTGTACAGTCAAACATGCACTGGTACAAAGTCAGCCAGTTGTAAACGTTGTATTTTCAGTGTTTCCCTCCTCATCACCCAGAATTCATCGTGTGCCCCCTCCCAGTGCTGCTGCACTCAAAGCCATCCCTGCCTGCCATGCAGCAGCTGCCAAAGTCATTCTATCTGCATGTACAAATTCTGGTATCTTTTAGAGTAAATGGGGGTATGTGAACATCTCCTCCTGGCTCACCACAGTGTGCAGAGCGGACCCAGAGCAGCGTGGGAGTTCCTGTCCCTAGAAATAAAGAGCTGTACCCTCCTCCACCTATGATTCCTGATTTTCACTGGCCAGGCAGCAATGGAAAACTGATGGGATCCTTCTCTTCCCCTCCTTCTTCATCATTAATTTAAATTATTGCCTTTTTCATGTCCTTTTGCATTTCAGATGTCCCATTTTACCCATCTATTGCCATGCATTAAGAGCTCTGCCTTTCCAGGTTCTGTGGATTTGAGCACTCAGAAAGAGCTCAGGAATTTCTCTCATCAAGCAAAATTGGCAGAAGGAATTGCTTTTTTTTCTTTTTTTCTCTATTTTGCCTCCAAGGAAGGCACAGTTAAGAGCAGGACACAGAGATTAATATCAGCAATTTGTAGGAATGTTTAGATCATTGCAGCTAGTAGGCAGTTGGGATGAAAAGATTATATCCCAGAGGCAAGAGGAAATCTTTTGTGAGCATATATGATGTCTGCTGGAAAAGTTAAAACTCAGTTATTAAAAGAAATAAATATTACCAGTACAAGAAACAGTCAAATGCACTTTTCAAACCTTTGTAGTACCTATTTCCCTCCCACAATCCTGGCAAATTCAAGGTTGGAACTGAAGGTTTTGAGGCTGTGAGAGGGAAGAGAGGGAAAATGGAATTTCTAATTTAAATTATAAAAATCCCTGCTGCAGGGATGCTGATGGTGGGGTTCTGTGCCGGCAGAATCCCTTCCCCCTAATCCTCTTGACATCCATCTCCTCCTGTCTCTCTTGACTGGTCAAGGAAACACAAAGTACTAATTGATTTCACAGCTATTTTACCACTCTGACCATAAATATTTAAGTTCAGCACATCAGGAAACACTCTGTACAAGATAACCACTTTCTGCCTGAGAGAAGCAGACGTGGGATCCCACCAGTTTAACCTCTGCACATTCCTCAAATTGCACAGTGTCAGAAAATTAACAGTAATTCCAGCCCATTATACACCTAGGTAATAGCAAATGGCAACTTTCCCACTCAGAAAAAAAAGGGAAAACATTATTTTTCAGCACACCAAATTGGGGGGTTCAGTTTGCTGAAGGCAGCACTGCACTCCCCTGCTTTTCCAGGCAGAGCTGGGGCAGGGGACACCAGCTGGGCTGTCCCTGCAGCGTCCTTGCAGCTGAGTGTTCTCTGATCCATCTGTGGGCAGGTCCTGCACCTCCAGGCCCCAGGAGAGTCACCACATTCTTCCCCAAACGCTGCTGCAAAGAGCTCACTCTCCATGTTTGAGTGCAGCCCACTCACAGGATTCTACTCCAGATACCTACAAGAGTTTATTTAGATTTAGCTCCTTTATCTCCACCCAGCAGGGAATGTGACCGTGCAAATGAATTCTCATTAAAATCTATTAGAAATTTATAAATTTTAGCCCATGGAAATGTGAGCTGAAACACCCCTGCAAGCAAAACAGGAACCTTCCTTTGAAGTTTACCACAGAACTAGTTAGCAAACTGTCAGTCATAATAATGTCTTCAGAGACAAAAGAAAATCAGCCAATTAAAACAAAATCAAATCAAATCTGTTTATAAGATAACAGGCTAACTTTCTCTCACTTACTGGATGTTTTTGGTAAAAGGTTTATTTCTTTATATGAAATTTCCAAATAAAGTAAAATAATTCGCTCCAGCATTGACCCACACTGAGCATTCTGGTACTGACAAAATGTTCTTTGGCATTAACTGGCACAAGACAATTACCACAGAAAGGACACTTAAATTTGTAATACTGGCTTAATTTATGTTTTGACAGAAGAAAATGAAATACTACTCTGGTTGTTCTGATATCCTGCTGCAAGCAACAGCAAATGGTGAAAAAACAAGGATGTATAATACACAATATTTCACTCTGAAAAGCATGAATTAGCAACCAGGAAAAAAACAAACTATTTTTCATTCCAATTTCCCAGAGATGACAAAATTCACCTTAGACACTAATTTACTTGTCCATGTATAAATCTCTCCTATTCCAACATTCAATTACAGCCAGAAATGCTTCAACCAGAGCTGCCTCTTGCTCAGCACCCAGTGAACAACTCTTGGATCAGGATCCAGCCCCTTGCATCAAATTTTCTGCCAAACAAATCAAGACTCTTGAAAGCTCAGTATGCACAAAGACCAGATTTTAATATTCATATATTTGAATTATAGCCAAATCACCACATGTGCTTGTTTTCAATTTTTTAGAACTCAGCTATTGAAATACAAATCATATCTAGACTCAAAATCTTAACTCTGAGCTTGTATTTATCTCAGTGCTTTAAAGCACAACCGGGCTTTTCATGATCATATTTTCATTTGAGACCCACTGCAGTTGGTTCAGGCTTCAATGTCATTTTCAGTGGCTTGAAAGCTGCACAGGTATGGCCAAGTCACAGAAAACTCAAGGCAAATTATAGATTTATTACAAAATTCCACTCAAGGCCCGATCTCTCAGCTTTTGGAAGAGGCTTTCAGTGGCAGGAGCTTTCCTGAGGTGAGGAGCAGCAACTCTTGGCACCTGTGCAGCACTGGCAGGACATGGCCTGGAGAAAGCCACAGTGGTTTCACAAAGAGGTCAACAAAAAGCTTCAAGAGCTCACGAGTCCCCTCCCAAAAACCAGAGGGTGGTTTGTGATTTCCTGAAAATGCCAGATAATCTTTTAAATGAATGTGTGCTGGCAGCTGTGTGAACCTATGAGGGAATAGATTAAAGCAGAGTTGTTTGCTCCCAGTGAAATATTTACTGATCTCAGCAAAAAGCTCAGCAACACCCACGATGTTTGTGTAACTTCACAAATTGCAAAGTTTAGTATAATAATATTTCCAGGCTAGAAATTTAAGATCAGAAGTTGGTGAGCCTGTTTTTTAAAGTTTTTTTTGCTAGAATGAACAAAATGTTACCTCATAAAAAGTTAGTTGTTCAATCAAGTAGGTATTCCCTAAAATTGTGAGGTCTTACTGATTACATTGCTTTAATTCACAAATATATCCAATATACCTGCAGAGGTTAAATGGTGCCATCCAGAGAGAATCTGGAATTAGAGCCATCCAAACCCAGTGGTATAAAATGTGGAGGGACAATTTCCTTTAAGACACTAAAATGTTCTTTAAAGATTTACCTCAGGTGCAATGTAGTCTGGAGTGCCACAGAAGGTCCTGGTTGTTACTCCATCCAACATGTGTTCCTTGCACATTCCAAAATCAGCAATTTTAATGTGTCCTTCTGAATCCAACATCACATTATCTAATTTCAGATCTCTGAGAAGAATCACAGTAATTTAAGGTTAATGTTTGGGGTCAGCTAGGGTGAGCCTATTCTGAATAAGGAATATTTGCAGCTCTTTGGGAGGTTGAGGGTGCACATGTGGGGCTGGCTCAGCTTGGAGGGAGCTGGGAGACATTTGAGAATGACCTTAAAATCCTGGAATGGGTTGCAAGGGACCTTAAAGCTCATCCAGAGCCACCCCTGCCATGGCAGGGACATCTCCCACCGTCCAGCCCCCTTGTCCAGCCTGGCCTGGGACCTGGACAGGGATCCAGGGGCAGCCACAGCTGCTCTGGGCTGGACAGTGAATGAAGAGGTGGCTGTGTCTGACCCCTCACCTCACAATTTTGGATGTGTAATATTATTAAACAACACACAGAAATACAAAACATAAAGTTTTCCATTTTCTAGAGGTTTTATTTCAGCGGGGCAGAGCACAAGTGTCAGAAAGCTCAGGTTCAACAGGGTTTCCACCTTACCAGCAGTAACACAACTAAAAGAGCTTTACACTGATGGCTTTCTGTTTTAAAAATACACTGAAAAGTTAAAGAAACTGATCATTTTGGGATTTTAAAAATAGTTCAGAAGTTACTTATGTCAGATCATACTCACCTATAAATAATCCCTCTGTTATGGAGAAAGAATAACCCAATTGAGATCTCAGCTGCATAGAACCTGTGTGGGGGGAAAAAAAATCAACACATTTCTTATTGCCTCATGAGTTTCTTCTGGCAAAATAAATTGGAAATGAATCACAGTAAAGCATGATAATGTAGTAGCATATGAAATATGGAATTGATAGTGTATATATACAGGTGACATAAAAGACCTATCACTTCAGCTGGACCTTAATAGATACATTTTGAGGATTTGATGATGAAATAATGCAGAATCTAAAAAAAAAATTTGGAAAATGGCTCCCTGGACCACAAAAAATGGTGCAGCTGGAGCACAGCTTTTTTTTTTTTTGCACTAACTCTGCTGCAAAGGTTCTTATCTCTAATCACAGACTGATGAATTCAGGATGCAGCTCGATGTACATTGCAATTCATACGGCATGAAATAATTTGCAGAAATAGCGTTCCTTTATACAGCCTGTTAATGGATTAATTACATGAAGCTAATTAAAATAATTACCATATAAGATATAATTGCTGAATGCAGTTAAGAGGTATAGAATAGTGGTGGCTGTTTGAAGCTGGTTGCTGTGGAACTGTGCAAATTACGTGCGAGAGGATTATTTAAAGATGAGATTAATTTTTAGGCTCAGCGCAAGGGAGAGGAAGCAACCGAGCTCTGCAACACTCGATCAGAGGTGTTTGTGAACATGTGTGAAGATGCAGCACAGGCAAAAGCTGTCATGAAGCACCACAGATTGTGCCAAGTGCTGGCAAGTTGCATTAGCTGGGAGTCAAGGATGATCTGACACCACCTCGGTTTGATTCAGCGAGTTGTTAAAATGTTTGTCTGCATCTGAAATATTTCTATTCAGAAGGCCTCTCGTTTAAACAAGCCCCATTTCAACCCTGCTTATACCAAAATGAGAAATTATTTTAACTGAGTGCTTAAAGCAGTTGGTCACCCTTGATTTTAAAGTGTCATTAGTAAATGATTTATGAAACACTAACAAAGTGGTTATGACTTATTATAAGGATGGCTAAAACGATACTGATGGATCTATTCACTCTTAAATATGCAACAGATCATTTTCAGTTGCTCACTGATGTGCCAGATGTACAATCACCTGAAAAGAATCATGTAGATAAACAACTCCTAATTCCTTATTAACTCCTCACAAATATATCACACAATTTCTTACAAGTTATACATTGAATTTGTCTTGTATAAAGTGTAATTTATATCTCAGTGCTAAGTCTATTTGTTCTGCCTTTCTCTGTAGCACTAATTCAGACTGAAGCATTCTCCTCACTGTTTAATATTTGCTTTTAAAAACAACATCAGAATATGAAGTAACATCTTTAATTTCCTGCTGCCCTGCTTAAATTCTTGTCACTTTTCAAGTAAGCCTCTCCTGCTTTTGTTTGTGCTGTATTTTTGAATAAAGGCACAACTACCTTCGGTCTATGTGTTCAAACAACATTTTTAACACAAAGTTCAGATTTGGAACCTTAAAAACAAACAAAGACCAGCCCAGACTTCATCCTGAGCCTGGGAAGAGGAAGAAACCAAATCCTCCTACACTGTAAAATCAAATGATGTGATTTAAATACATGAACACTCACACTGCTTGTGGCTCCTTAAATTTTCCTACTTGCTGGATGTGATACATGAGATCCCCACCGTTCACATACTCCATCACAAAATACAGCCGGTCCTAGGACAAAGTAGTAAAGGGGCACATAAATACATTAGAGACAATATTAGATATTCATTGATCAGCCAAAAAGGGGGAAAAAAAAGTCACTAGCACGTTATTAAAAAGCTTTTAGGATTATTAGGACTGGGAAAAAATTATAGATCAGGAAATGGAAGCGGAATGTTTTGTACAACCTTTAAGAGTCAATGATTGATGAGATCTGTCTGCCTTTGCCAATTTTAGTGCCATGCTCTTACAGATTGTCTCCAACAGTTTCAAGAATTATACAAATATAGCTCAGTCTGAAAAATGTCTCTAAAAATAAATGAAAAACAATGAAAATAAAAATAAATCAAAGATGGTCAAAAATTCCAAATTGCTTTGAGGCCATTTCTGATAGTTCCTAGTAAGTTTTCCTTTGGAAGATGTGTGGATGTGGCACTTGAGGACATGGTTTCATGGGGAACGTGGGCTGATCGTGGGTTGGACTTGGTGATCTTAGAGGATTTTCCCAGCCTCACTAGTTCCATAATTCCACGTCATCCAAGAGGCTGGCACAGTGACACTGGGCCATCAGATCCATCCTCAAATGTGTCACTGGGAGATGTTCTGCAATGTGATGGGCAAATGCCCACTTCACATATTTATAAGGAAAGAAGAAGAAAAAGCCCCTCGGTGTCATCCAGAAGTGACAAAAAACTAAATTAAATCCACCAACACTGATTCATGACTAATAACCCCACGATATAATAACAGCCATTAAGACTTTTCAAATACTATCCTCAGAGCTTTAAAAGTATTTGGGAACCTTTGGGAACCTGGGCTTGAGGCTCTGACTTAGCAAAGCAGATATAATTACATTTAGGAATTGCCATGCTGCCCTGCTCAAACGACTGCATGAAGGAAAACCTTTAAAATTATTTTTTACATTTAAGATCCAAGGGGTAATTACATGTGGGATTTCTTCACCATTTTCTACGTGCAGAGGCTACCATACATGGGTTGGATGATAATAAATGTTACTGGAGTGATAAAATCCACGACCACGCAGCCTGGGAAACATCGGGGTGCGGAGAAAGACAGAGCTCACGTACAACTGTCTGGAAACAGGAGTGGAGCTGTGTCAGGAACGGGGGCTTATCTTGCAGTGCCAGGACTCGTTTTTCAACCATGGTGCACTCCACATCATCATCCTGGATCACCACGTCCTTTTTCAGGATTTTGATTGCATACAGCTCCTCTGTGCCCTTCCTGTCCGCCAGCATCACCTGCAGGAAAGGGAAATAGCGGCGTGAAAATCCCCCGGGCCAGGGAGGGAAGGTCACTCAGATGCCTCAAGATTCAGAGAGATGGCAAGCCAGCTTTTCCCTTAATTTGTAGAGAGAAATTTGATCAAAACTCCAAAATCATGATCACTGTACATTTCAGACAGCCTGTGCCCAAACCCGCTGGCTGATTGCGGGCTCGTTGCAGCAGGGCTGATAAAATGTTAAGTCCCAGGAGACTTCTTCAGTAAAGGGCACTTTATCACCTGAGTTTTGTTCAAACAGGCAGAAAAATAGCAATCTGTTCTCTTAGCTATTGGATTTCTGATATATATATACACTGTTCCTGGTTTTTTGTCCAATATTCACCCTTACTAATGTTGGTGACTTCCAGAACTGGCAGAGTGACCTAGGTATTAAAGCCAGAAAAGTAAGACTTAATTTCCTTGAAACTGCCAAGAAGTGAGGATTTGAACATGAGCAACGAGTTCTCAAATTGCCCAACAGTCTGAGGTTATAAATTTGTTTTTATTTTTTCAAGAAAACTTCCCATCTGGACTTAAATCTGCTAGGCCTTAGGGGAAATGACCCTACTCCCTGTTAAGAAATCCTTCCTCAAATATACACATCCTTTTGACTCTGGATTTTGCTTCTGAAAGCTGTTTGTTCATTTTTCCTCAAGGAAAAGAAAAAAAAAAAAAAAAAAAAAAAAGAAAAAAAAGTAAAGGAATGTGAATGGATTATTCTGAAGAATTCCTACCTTCCCAAAGCTCCCCTTTCCAAGAACCATGAGAAAGTTGAAATCTGTCAGCTTCACCCTGTCCAGATTGTTGGATGGCACACTTGAGTTCTTGTCTTCTGTTGAAGTAATGACTTTGTTACCAGCTGGCCCAAGTTTGGCTTTCTGAAGAACACACACACACATACACACACAAAAACAGCAAAGTGAGAACTCCCCATTTCCTGGCAGAAAGGATCTCTGGGTGGAAGTTGGAATTGGAAATGGCCAGGTCTGAGGTGGCATTCCCAGGTGAAAGGTTGCATAATAAAATATGCACAGACACACCTTCAAAGACTCATTCCAGCAATAATTTTGACATAATTGAAGGAATTAAAGTGGAAAACTGTGTTCATTTAGAACCAGATAAAGCAGATATGCTTATCTGGTTAAAAGAGCAAAACCAAAGCAAAGCCCAGAAACAAAATTAAAAATGATCATTTGCTTTCATGCCAAAAGCAGCTTAAATGGTGCTTTTGTTCTGAAATACAAAAAAAAAAAATTAAAAATTAAAAAATAAAAAGAGGCTATCCAAAAATACCACGCTGTAATGTACACTGGGTATTTTGGGATATAAACAACCTCCTCAAAACATTCTCTTTTAGAATGGAATTTTTCCAGTCACTGCATAGCAAGAGTTAAGAGAATTTTGACATGCACCAAGAAAAAGAACCTGCATTAAAAAATCCCACAAGACATGAGAATTAATGCAGATGCACACGGCCACTTTCACACCAGCAGTACAATCAACTTTGATTTTCAATCAAGGGTTGATCTGGAAAAGGGGGGAAAGGAAATATTACAGACAAGGGCTCTGCCTTGTCTAGAAACTTTGGTTTACAGGAGGCTGCAAGTCTCAGTATTTCACATGAGACACCATAGCATGGCTCAAGTAAGCTGCATTTCAAATCCCAGAGTTAATAGAAGAGAAAAAAGTAACACTCACCAAAAGATAATGCAGGCTACAAGATAATATCCTTTTTTCTTTTTTTTTTCCCCTCAAAATAATCCCATATACCAGCAGAAGCAAAGCCATAAGATTTAATAATTTGGGATATAAGTGCTTTCCCCATCTGTCTGGTGTGTTGGTCTGGTTAATAACCTCTAATATGGTCAATTTACTTTTTGCTAGTGATGTATGTTTGACAATTCAGGATAACTACTATTTTCTCTGCTTCACAAAAGGACAATATTTGTGTATTATCCTTTTTTTACAGATAAAGAAAATGACAGAAATGGAGGTTTATTCAAAGTCACACAATACCTCCCTTTAAAAGCCAGGACTGGCATACACCTTTGAAACTGAGAGTTTGTAACTGGGAGTTACAAACCTTCCCCTCCCCAGAGGAGTTTAAAACCATAAAATTGAGAGGCACTCGATTCACAGACTCCATCTACTCTTGCAGTAATGTCAGATAATCATCTGACAAAATAACCTCCTGTCACTTCAAAATCATATTCAGCTTGGATGACTCTTCCTGCAACTTTATAAGTGCAGAAAATCTTATGCCCTGCCACAGGGATATGAATTTTTCAAGTTCAGATCTCTTTATTAAAAAACTTGTAATACAGCTTAGACTGGGGAATTTCCTCCACAGCAATGTTATTACTTGTTTGCATGAAAGCAGCACTTGGAGATGCTGATCAGGATTGGGTGCTGTGCAAACTTTTAGGGAGAGCCAGCCCTGGATGTCAGCCTAAATCCCTGAGCCTGCAAGGGATGCTCCCAGGGCAGATCTGGCTGCTGGGACAAATCTGAGCTCTCTGGCAGCACAAAGCTCCTTTCCAGGCCACACAAGATTGAGCCATGAGCAAAACAAGGGAAAAAACCCCCAAATCCCAATATCCGTTATTGGTACAAGATAAAGACGTGGCTCAAGGGAGCAGCTTTGCCTTTGTGATGCTCCCACAAATGGGATCTCAGATAAAGATCTTGCTTTTCTGATGCACAAAGCAATTTCAATATCCTTCTTTTCACTGAGTAATGGAGATCCAAATCAGGCCCTGAATGGAAAGCACCAGCTTTATTTCTTCCACTTTAAACCCGCTGGGCAGGCGTTGGCAGCTTGTCCAAAAAATGCATAACTAGAACAAAAAGTCAAATTTTGTTCCGAGGCCGTTTGTTTTTTGAGTACAAACCTGCCAACCAGGGAGGGAGTGCTCTCTGCACTGCTGCAATCCCAGCAGCAGCTGGGAAATCTGGAGTTTCCAGAACTTTTTCCATAAAAAAGCATGGCAGGTTCACCAGCAGGCTCCAGAGCTGGAGGCACTGCTTTCACTCGGAGTCAACACGGCCTGGAATTCTCAGGATCTGAAGGCAGCATCTTAAAATAATATTTGAGAAGCCAGCCAAGGCCTCTGTGCATCCTCTGAGCACTTAGATTCAATGAGCAGCAGACAAGCTTCTCTCACTCCCATCTTTCAGCTTTTTTTAAATTAGATGTCACTCTCAGTTTGAGAATCTCTCTTTGCAGATGGCAGATTTTTGAGAACACGGGGTTCCTCTGGTGTGCTCAGGTGGGCTCTGAGCTGTCTGAGGCAGGCAGGAGGTGAGCAGGGCAGGAGTTCATTGATGTGCTGAGCTCTGAGTGCCCGTGGGAAGGTGACAATCCTGGTTATCCCCTGGCTGAGCTGCCATGGGAGGGGTGAAGAGAGAGCCCTGCTGCAAACCAGCTGGAAAATCCAGGGACAGGGCAGCCAGGGAATGCTGGGGAACAACCAGACTGACTCAAAGGAAGCACACAGCCCCAAAGTGGCAGGAAGTCATTAAATTATCATCACCTTATCAAAGGTCCTTATTTCCCATCACCTTGGCCAGCCACCATTCTTTCAGAAGCATGCAAAAAAACCCCCTTTTTCACATTCGGCATGTGAATCCCTGTTACTGTTTTTTGGCTTAAGGTCCTAGTGGAAATAGACTGGGAATTTCAAGACATTTCACTGAGCTCTATCATGAGTTTTATATCTGAAACACCTTGGCTGTAGCAGACAGAAAATGCCATGCAGCCAATATCCTCTTCCAGACTGCCAGAGCAAAACCAATTTTGCAGCTACAGAAGGGACATAAACTCAAATTATTCCTAAAAGCTTATTGGAAAAGATTGATATTTTGCCTTTCCTACCATGACTTAAATTGAAAATCGCAGAATCCTATTTGAACCCTCTTTTATTTTTCATGGATATTAAAACTTGCTGAAGTTGAAGACAGCATTCCAGGCCCTGGATTAATTTTCAATCCACATTCCAACTCCTTGTCTTATTATCTTGGATAAAACCACAGTATTGTTACAACAAAGCCAGCTTGCAGCAAACCAACCAGGAAAACAGAATGTTAAAGATAAATTAGTCTGCACTGGTAGCAGGAAAGTTAATCTAAAAAGAAAACAAGACATGCACATCATCTTACTTCCTCTGCTTTGGACGCACCTTATCTCGGCCAGTTCTTTTACCCTGAAACCACAGGTGAGACATATCTTATATATACAGCCCAAACTCACTCCTCCATGGAGTGTTAAGAAATTACAGTGTGCTACACTGGAGAGATTCTGGGAATTTGGCAGGTGCTTCTTGGAAAAGATATCTCAGGTTTCACAGTAAAAATGCTTTGGATTTCTTTTTAGTCTAGGAGTAACAATTATACTTTTAATTAAATATGAAACAAGTTATCTAAAATCTAATGAGAAGTGTGATGCAAAAAAGAAACAGAAGTGATTTAGGGAATAGTAATACTTCATTTTTTAATGGCAATTGCAGTAATTCTTGATGATTCTTTTCAAAACTTTGTGATTTTTTCCTGTGAAGAAAATCAAATAGGACAAAGCAATATATCTGGATGTTGGTTCTTCTGCCCTCCATGTATACCTGTAGTAGGGAATCTTAGGAATTACAGAGCAAAAAGACTGAATTGGTCACTTTACACATTAGCCAGTAATAAGTAAAAGTTGTGAGGATTTAAAAAAAATACATCCAAAATTCCCTTTCCTACTCCCAATCTCTTTAGCTCAACGAGTCTCCTCCAAGCTGCCAGTGCTTTAACACCTTGTATTGCTCTCCTCTGCTGCAGTTTGCAGCACTCAGCTGGGTGAGATTGGCTTTGTTCCCACATGGGAAACCAACACCAGGATCCAAAGCTGCCCAAACTTGCAGCCACCCCCTCCCACCCCCAAGCACAGCTTCAGGAGGGAGAAGCCCATCCCCTCTGCCATGGTCAGATATCCAAGCAAACACAAAGCTGCATGAGCAGCTCCCTAGAGGATGTGTTCCTTGGTTGCCAGGGAAACTCACTCCCAGCGAGTTCCCAGATGCCAGCAGGATCATCCCTGGCACCACATTTTCAAGAGGAAAAAGCGAAAAATGAAAAAAATATTTAACAACAGTTCTGAATCCCCACCACACGAGCAGAGTGCTGTGTGAAGAGCCACAGCCCATCCTTTATTTATCGGCCCCACCAACACCTGACAGGGAGGTAAATGCAGAGTTCTGCTCCCAGCAGCTGAGCCTTCTGGATTTTCCCAGCTCTGCTCCACATGGATACCAGCATTCCCTCCTCTTCTTTACAGGTTCCACCCAGCACAAGCTGCTCTGCCCGTGCAGTGGCTGGAAACACTGAACACGCGATGGAACACGGCGCTGTCCGGTCTGCTCCAAACCCCACGGCTCCCACTGCACGAGGCTCAGCAGCCCAAGGACTGCACAGGGCTTGAAAAGTTTGGGCTGGAATGGACCCGAAAGATCATATCTCATTCCACCCCCCTGCCATGGGCAGGGACACCTTCCACCAGAGCAGGGTGCTTCAAGCCCTGGTCAACCTGCCCTTGGACACTTCCAGGGGTGGGGCAGCCACAGATTCTCTGGACAACCTACCTCAGGTCCAAGGATTGAGATCTGTGGAGCAGGAATGTCTCCTTGCCACCACTTAAAAAATTCTAATAAATCCCTGCTTCTCACGTGGCAGAAAGTTCTCAGCAGCTCTTTGCTAGACCCCCACGTTGTCCCCAGATGTCCCCGTGTGAGGGAATCACCCATCTCACACTGCCACACCTGGAGCCAAGATTTCTGCTCCTGATTCTGGAAATAACCCAAAGCCACTGCAGGTAACAGCCTGCACATCACTTACAAAGATGGCAAAATGCGTGGTGAGGAGTGAGGATGGAACAGGCTGAACAGTAAAATTCCAGCTTCACTCTTCCAGCCCAGGGGGCTGTGGGTGTGAAATCAATGCTCAGATCTGCCTGTTGATACCTGGACCCTGCACAAGGAGCATCAGAACAGCTCAGACAAACCTCAGGAGATGTCACTGACAGCAAAGCTCAAACTAAGGATGGAAAAAGGGAAATAACAGTGATTTATCCAAGGCTCAAGGAAGGACACATTCAGGTTTCCAGTCGTGTACACACGAAGTGGGGACTTTGATCAATGTGTTGAGCCATTAGCAAGCCTTTAATAAAGCAAATAAATCCAATAAATTTCAAGTCAAAATCTGGAAGAAAAGCCCTCCCATTCAGTGAAATGTTCTCTGTCATTGTGGCAGCTGGTTTCTTACATTATTGCATTTCCAATTCCATGTAATTATAGATGCTATGATAGACTATCAATTTCCTACTTTCTACAACTTAATTACCAGGATGCTGAGAATTTGAAATGAGAAGAGTCCATTTCTAAGCCCCAGCAAGACCTAATGCCTCACCAGACTGAGATTTAATCTTCATGCCATAACCTAGGGCTGGTTTATAATTCACCAGCAGAGTTTTGCTGGAAACCAGGGGTGTGCCCAGTATCAGGGACACCATCAAGGATTCCTGAGGTTCCCACATGGATTTTGGCCATTCCTTGGTGAATTTACACTGCAGCAACACTTGTCTGCAGCAAGGGGAACACTGGAGAGATGTAAATAACCACAAAGCTGTTTATCAGCACTCTGAGATTCATTTTCATGACTGCAGCGTCACTGTGCTGAACGATGGTGTAATTAATGAAAAATGCAATATATCAAAATGAAAATGTGTATTTCTTTCAATGGCTAAAATAATTATTGAGAAACTAACTAAAAATTCATAGCATTCCCATTGCTAGCAAAAAGGCATAAGGGCAAATGGGATGTTTCATAAAGATATAAATGAGATGGGTGATAAAACTCTACCTGGGAATTAAATACCAACTATTTTATGTCTTTAGTTTATTTTTCCCTCATTTCCTCTCCTCCTCTTAAAATTGTTTCATATTTACCCTGTTTATGACTAACAGTAAATTTATTTAAAGGATTTGTCTGCAATAAATATTTGTGGTGTATTTGATAAGGATTAAAAAGGTCTTTTGCAGAAAGCCTGTCCAAGGACACGGGAGCCCCACTCCTGAAGCCACCAAAGCGTTGGGCTGAGCGATCCTGAGGTGAGCAGTACCTGCTTTTACACCTGCAATTGTAAAATATTTTGATTAGAGGGAAAATTCTCATCAGTGCCAGTTATCAAACCTGAATAAAGGGCTGTGTGAAAGATGTTACAGTGAATTTTACTGAAATTATGGTTTAAATTAATGGGTTTGTATTTTTTAAGTATATATACACAAGCAATGTGGATGATTTCCTTCTTTTCAGGCCTTTAGCAGGATCCAGCTCAGCTCTGGGAGCTTTTCCCTGTTCTTTGCTGACCTCTTGTGGTTTCTAACTCAGAGGGAAATTATTTCCTCAAGCTCAACTTTACTTAGGATAATGAAAAAAAGGGAATCTGAAAGGACAAGGCAACAGTTTAATATATCATGAAGTTCCTCAACAGACCTTTTTTGTGGGGTTTATAACAATATTCTCTATTTAATTATTTTTCTTAAACTTTTTTTTTGTCTTGCTGGATAGAAGTTAGAACTGTGTGAAGTACCTGAACACACGATTTCTAAAATATTCCGAAATAAACCAGGCACGAGGTGAAGGTAACATATTTCTATTTTCTATTCTCTAGAATATTCCCTAGAAAATGGAGACAGTGAAGTCAAATGACTATGGAAGACATTGGAAAGGGATGGATCTATCCTCAGACAGGAATTTCAGGAGATACTGCCCTGGGTGACAAAGTCTGCCTGTGTGAGCTGTGAAATCCAGAGAAGGAAGAGTTTCCAGTTCCCCATTTGGCACTGTCAACATGTTTAATCTGTTTAATAATCCTGTGGCCACCTGAGTCCACTTTGTTTCCTGCCTTTATTGCCAAACACTCTCTCCCCTGCAACAGAGCAGTGCCTAATGAGATGAAGTGTAATTAAAGAGGCTGCCTAGGAATAATATTCAAGAATTCTTGCAGAAGTATCCTGTGGTGGTGGTAATAAAAATCCCCAAAAGCAAATAGGATGCTACAACAGTGAACCCCTAAGTGTCAAAAGAAGAACTGCTTTTCTAGATGCTCCTCCATTCTTTAATTATGCAAATTACTGCTAGTTTTCAATAATAAAAAAACCTAGAATGTGGAATTTGCTTTTAAGTATAAACCTTATTTCAATAAGGGGGAAAAAAAGATTAAAATGCTGTTCTAAAAGAATTTTAAGGACTTCAGTTCTTCCTGATCTTAGAGCAAATCCCTGCAATCAGTCCCCACCAGGCACACAAAGCTGCAGTCCAGGACTGATTTTAAAACCTTGGGATTCTGTATCCAAATCTTAATGTGCTCTGAAATGATTTATCTCCCTCTCACACACACACAAACACAGATGAAAGTGTTTTCTGCATGATGTTGAGAAATAATCTATTTAAATACACACTTTGCAGTGGGACAAAAGCAGGATAGGTGTGCGGTCCTTCCCAGTGTCTGATTATTCCATAAACATGAATTCACAACATCTCCCATTTTCTGTGATATTATCCATTAATTTTTGTACATTTGCTGGTTCCTAGTTCAGAATTGTTGGGTGAAGCAGCAGCTGTGGGAAAGCCTGCAGTCCTTTTTTTGGGTGCACTCCTATGATGGAAACCTGAATTAACCAAGGATTTTTGTCAGCTTGTATCAATGTTCTTCAAAGCCTGGATTTTACAATGAGGTGACAAAACTTCCTATTGAGGCCAGATGCATTTTATCAGGGTGATTTTGCTCTGGTTTAAAAATGCATTTAAGCAGAGAAACTTCCAACTTCCCAGCATAAAACAAGTTTCACCAATGAAACCACCATGTGATTTTATTTTCAAATATGAAGAGGTGTAAAGGATTGAGGAAAGGCAGTTCTCTTCTGTACAGGCTTTTCTGAGATAAAAAAATCAAGGTTGAGAAAAGAGATTAATTTGATATTGCCAGTTCAGTGTTAGAACATTTGTTAAAATCATGCATTAATAATATAAACAACTCTTAAAAAATAATATCTGTTTTTTTAAATTAAGTATTTTAAGCCTTGATTGATAATGTAAAGCACTCCAGATCAACAGTTGTAAAAATACTATTTGAAGATAATAATGGCTTCAGTAATCTTAAGATTCTTAG